CCGCCCCCCCAAAAACCATTCTGGGGAAGGGTCACCGGACCCGAAACGCCAACCCCGCCCCCTCCCCCACAGACGCCGCGAGACCTGCCGAGCTTTTCCAGCAACCCTGCTCCTGTTGTGACTGGATTATAAGGACACAGAAGTTACATTGCAATGGAAACCCTGGATAGACTCCACTTGGTGTCCTGCGAGCAGATCTGGGCATCACACCTTAGGAAGGATAAACTGACTTTGGAGAGAATTAAATGTACAACAATTTTATCTGAATTTAAGAGGTTAAGTTATGAGGAGAAATTGTATAAATTGGGCCTATTTTCTCTAGAATTTAGAAGATTAAAGGGGATCTGATCAAAGTCTTCAATATATTAACAGCAAAAAACGGTATATAAAGATAAACCATTTCCACTGGTTGGGGATTGTAGAACAATGGATCATAAAAATTGGGCCAGGCTGTTCAGGAGAGATGTTAGGAAGAACATTCTACACGCAAAGGATGGTAGAGGTTTGGAATTCTCTTGCACAAACAGCAGTCAATGCTGGATCAGTTGTTAATTTTAATTTTGAGGTAGATTAATTTTTGTTAAGGAAAGGTATTAAAGGAGATGTGCCAAAGAGAGGTATATGGAATTAGGCCACTGATCTAATTGAATGGTGGGATAGGCTTTAGGGGCTGAATAGTCTATTCCTGTTCCTATGTACAGCTTCTCTTGCAGAATAAATTTGATTCACACATTACTCCATCCTAATCCATATCCAAAAATGTTAAATTTCAAATCCTTAAACTCATATTTTAACTCTTTTATGACCCTGCCTCATTAGATTTATGTAACCATCTCCCCTTGCACATCCATCCCCTGCATTGGCTTTTTATGTAATTTCACTTTCTACCGTTCCTCTACTCTTTCTGAAGTTTGCAGGTGCTTTATACCTATTTTGAAATTTCATCTATTTCATTTTTTAAATAATCTGCTCGAAACTGAATGTCTTCAGTCAAGCCTTTGGAGACTTCTCTGTCTCACTTCCTGGCCTTCACCAAAAATACTTACAGTATACTCAGATAACAAGGTGTAAAGCTGGATGAACACAGCAGGCCAAGCAGGATCATAGGAGCAGGAAGGCTGACGTTTCGGGCCTAGACCCTTCCCTCACTGTTTCTCACCCTCTGTATTAGCGCCACTGTTTCTCACACTCTGTTGCAGCCCCTCTGTTTCTTGCACACTGTATCAGCCCCTCTGTTTCAGCCAATCGGTTTTTCGCACTCTGTTTCAGCCGCTCTGTTTCTTGCACACTGTATCAGCGCCTTTGTTTCCCGCACTCTGCATCAGCCCCGCTTTTACAGCCCCTCTGTTTCTCGCACTCTGTTTCAGCCTCACCGTTTCTGGCTCTCTGTTTCAGCCACACTCATTTTGTTTTAAAGATGTTATATAAATGTAGGAACAAAAACAAAGTTGCTGGAAAAGCTCAGCAGATCTGGCAGCATTTCTGAAGCAAAAACAGACTTAAGGTTTCGGGTTATAAACGCAGCATGTCTTTTGGTGTCCCATTTAGATCTTACTCTTACTCGCTGAAAATCTCATGGGTGGCACCATAACATGGATTCTGAAGGGCTGCTCAATGACTGTTCAGTGTGATTCGGGGAGAAAAAGGTGTTTGAAGTCTGATTAATTGGATTAGTTGATGCTGTATTATCGCTGCCCCGTACAGTTGCAAGGATTATTTTTGTTGAATGTAAATAATTCATATATGCATGCAATTAAACTTATGTTAAATGCAGAAAAAAGGTAGCATGGCGGTTCAGCGGTTAATACGGCTACCTCATAGCGGCAGGGACCCGGGCTCAATTCCACCTTAGGGCGACTGTGTGAAGTTTGCACATTCTCCCTGTATTTGGGTGGGTTTGCTCCAGTTTCCTCTCTCAGTGTGCAGGTTAGGCGGATTGGCTATGCTAAATTGCCCATAGTGTCCAGGTATGCGCAGGCGAGGTGGATTAGCCACGGTAAGTGTTCGGTTACGAGGGTGGGAAACTCTTTAGAGCGTCAGTGTGGACTCGGTGGGCCAAATGGTCTGTTTCCCTACTGTAGGGATTCTATGAAGAAATCATAAAGTCCATTTTGTTCCAAATACAAACCTAACTGTCAGGTGTGATGCCCTCATTCGCATTAGTGTAATGGAATCGAAATTAGGGCTGTCTTTTTATCTACTTTCTCAAAAATCGCTCCCAGGCCAAAGTAACAGTTTCAACTTCTCGCCGATGAATGAAGAGTTCATTTTAAGAAGTCAAGCGACGAACGTGAACACAAATCATTAGCGGCAGTGGCGGATTTCCGTTCTGGTGAGGGGGTAGGGGGTGGAGAAGGTGACAGATCACCGGGTTTGAAACGGTTAACGCTCCCTTGTGTCTGAACGAACCTCAAGGCCCGAGCCTCGGGTTACTATTGGCAACGAAAGGCGTAAAGTTCAGCCGTCAACTGCCTTGCGGCATTTTGCGGCAACAGTTGCTAGGAGAGGGAAGGAGATTGCTGGAGTGGGCGAGGTACTCGTTTTATATGGATAAAGTTGATATTGTTGTTTGGTCAGTTTGCTATAGCATAGTAACCGATTAAGCCTATCGGACTGATGGCACAGAAACGTGCCAAAGGGTCCACTAAGTTTAGGCGGCTGTTTGTGCTCTGCACGATGCTGACCACTCCCACCTCCTCCATCTGTTCCCAGTAACGTTTCTGCTGCATGGGTTTATTTTCATTCCTGTTAATTCAGTTTTGACATTAGCCTCAGCCACATGTGACGCCGACCGAAGGCATTTCTCAGGAATTCCTTTATCGCATTTATTAACGGCTAACTTAATGGCCCATCGAAAAGTGAAATACCGAGGGCTCTTGGAAATCAGAAATAAAAGCAGAAATACCTGCAAATACCCAGCAGGTCGGGCAACATCGGTCCATAGAGAAAAACGGTTAACGTTTCATACCCGTGACATCTTGTTAGAGAAGGAAAATGTTACAGGTTTTAGCAGTGGCTACTTGTGTTTCTCCTTTAACGTCTTAAGGCGCTTCACAGAAGCATTGCAAAATGAGGTATTGCACGAGTTATTTAAGGATACCTAAGCACGTGAAGTCATGACCTCCAATTTAAGGTTGGGGTGTGCAAGTGGCTAGGATTAGAGGAATACGGATAATTGAGGGTTGTGTAACCGGAGGAGAGAGAGTTCCATAATTTTGCTACAAAATGAATGAAAAGTGATATATTTCCAAGCCAAGGTGGTGAGTAGCTTGGAGGGGATCTTGTATGTACGGTGTGCTGTGTACTGGCTGCCTTTGTCCTTCTAGATGGAGTGGTCGTGGGTTTCGAAGGGACCGTCTTTGGACCCTTGGTGAATTTCTGTAGTGCATCATACATCAGTGCTAGAGGGAGTGAATGTTTGTGGATGTGGTGTCAATCAAGCATGCTGCAAAGTTCTAGATGGTGCAAGATACTGCCTATTTCTAACAATTGATTAAATAAAAATATATTGTGCCAAGTAATTTACTTTTAATCTTTAACATCTTAACTTATTTTCTTTTTTGACAATAGGTATGGTGTAGAGTACTACAATGGGGTATGATATTGAGCGATTTGTAGGCTATGTAAATGAAGGATTGCTATGTTGTATCTGTCGAGATGTATTGGAAAATCCTTTGCAGGCTCCATGTGAACATGCCTTCTGTACATCTTGCATTCATGGCTGGCTCGTGCAAAATCATAATTGCCCTGAAGATCGGCAGACTCTGGATGCATCCATGCTTCGACCACTGTTTAGGTAATCTAGCCATCTGCCCATAATATTAAAAGAAAAGGATGTGTGTGTTTATTTCCTGTGGCATGTTTTTGTTAGTTATATTAACGGACAAAATGATGACCCAA